ATTGTTAGACCGCCTGCTCAAATTACACCAGTTACCGACCGGTCCCGTGCTTTACTCGGAAATTTATTTGCAGACCTCAACTACAAATTATTTATTTTTCAATTACAATTACTTCTGGTAAACTGTAAATTTATCAAATAATCTAGAAAAATTTATCGGTTTTCCTACAAAAAAAAAGTAGGCAGCAAAAACAAGATAAATAGTAATATTTTTCTTAAGCGGCTATTCAGCATCATGTGACTAGTAAAAACTGGATTAACAAAATAAAATAAAATTCAGCTTGGTGCAACAGGACTTTTTATCAACTTTAAATTTAATGAAATGAATAATTAATTTAAACAGTAGAAACTATCACTTATTAATTAAGTCTTATTTAGCATAAAAAAGATATTTAAAAAAAATAAACAAACCCCAAAAAACTTTTAGAATGACAGTACACTGTCTGACAAAAGTCTTGTTGAGGATTGCAGTTGTAAGAGCAACAAATAGTAACTTGACTTCTAGTTGATCATTTGGAAAAGTGTCAGAAGATAAAATGTTTTCTGTCATCATAAATACTGCAGAAGACCTGCTGGAAACCACATGGAGCTAAGATTCTCACATAAATCAGTCAAGTTTGGCTAAAGAAAAATCATGGTTTGGAGTTACATTCAATATGGGGGTGTGCAAGAGATCTGCAGAGTGGATGATCAACATCAACAGCCTGAGGTAGCAAGACATTTGTGCTGCCCATTACATTACAAACCACAGGAGAGGGCAAATTCTCCAGCAGTATAGCGCTCCTTCTCATACTTCAGCATCCACATCAAAGTTCCTGAAAGCAAAGAAGATCAAGGTGCTCCATGATTGGCCAGCCCAGTCACCAGACATGAACATTATTGAGCATGTCTGGGGTAGGATGAAGGAGGAGGCATTGAAGATGAATCTAAAGACTCTTGATGAGCTCTGGGAGTCCTGCAAGAACGCTTTCTTTGCCATTCCAGATGACTAGATTAATCAGTGATTTGAGTCATTGCAGAGATGTATGGATGCAGTCCTCCAAGCTCATGATGGAGTCAGACACAATATTCATTCTGTTTCCACTGCAGCATGACTTTATATTCTATACTGGATATTATTTCTGTTTAGTAATGAGACTTTTGTCTACTTTTTGTCCTAATTAAATCATTAATAATCAAGGCATGATCATCTTTTATTTTGGTAAAATAAGCGTAATCTAGAGGCCTTTGCCTTTCATATAAGCCACTTCTGATACCAAATCAACAACTAGAAGTTATTATTTGCTGTTAGTAAAACTTGGTTAGGCGACAAGACTTTTGTCAGGTAGTGTAAACATTTTTGTAATGTTCCACGTAATATAAATGATATATTTCCTATCATAAGACTCAAATGACAGCTTTAGTAAAAGTAAAAATTGTATCTGATACGCACGACTGCCATCAATCACAGTGGAGCTGGTCGGTAATGAGATTTCCTGATACTTTGGAGAAACCACTGCAACAGGTGGCTTATTCACTCGTGGCTCTGCAGAACAGTAGAAACACAGGACTTATGAATACTTTATGTGACATTAACACAGGCAGACCAAACTGAACGCCACTTTGAAAACTGAATCCAGTACAATTAGAGAATACATCAATGCTAAAGTTACCTGGTTTGACAGTGACATTGACGTATCCCTCCCCGTGAGCACCCTCTCCATCTACCACCACCTCAAACTCATACAGACCCACCGTCAGCTGAAAGAAACAGAGTGTGGAATATTAGGAAAATGTAAAATCATACGAAATAAAAGTTTTAATTTGTCATTTAATATTTTTTTACTAATATATGTATGCATGTTGTGTATATTCATTTTGTGTATATAAAAAAATCCCACATGCATGCATATATTAGAGAAAATGTTTGTTTATATTCAGATATAAAACATGTACAGTTTTATTACAGTATGTACAGAATTATTAAACCCCCTTTAAATTTTTTCTTTTTTAAATATTTACAGTATTTCCAATAATATTTTTTCTTCTGGAGAAAGTCTTATTTATTTTATTTCGGCTAGAATAAAAGCAGTTTTTAATTTTTAAAAGCCATTTTAAGGTCAAAACTATTAGCCCCTTTAAGCTAGATTTTTTTCGATAGTCTACAGAACAAACCATCATTATTCAATAACTTGCCTAATTACCCTCACTCAAAAAATACTTTTGCTGCTTGTTCAAACTACTTATTAAAAATAAGTCGAAACAAAACAATTTTAAAGTTTTTTGGGGGGACAACTTAATTATTTTATGTTCAAACAACTTCAATTAGTAAAAATAATAAAGCCAACATAATTGATCTATGTTGGGACAACATGAAGCAACTGTGTGGAACCCCGCATTTCTTACAGTGCTAACCTGCCTAGTTAACCTAATTAACGTAGTTAACCCTTTAAATGCTATCATGATGGCAAAGTTAAAATAAATCAGTTATTAGAAATGAGTTATTAAAACTAATATGTTTAGAAATGAGTTGAGACAAACCTTTTCTCTGTTAAACAGAAATTGGGGAAAATTAAACAGGGAGGCTAATAATTTAGGGGGTTTAATAATTCTTACTTCAACTGTATATGATACAAATTTACATATGTATGTGACAAAAAAAGTTATTTCATAGTTTTGTTATTATGTATGTGTTTGTATCACATATACAAAGTATGTATGTATGTATGTATGTATGTATGCATGTATATATATATATATATATATATATATATATATATATATATATATATATATATATATATATATATATATATATATGTATATATAATTATATGTATATGTATATATATATATATATATATTTTTTTTTTATATATATATATATGTATATATATATATATATACACATACATACATACATACATACATACATATATACACACACACACACACACACACACACACACACACACACACACACACACACACACACACACACACACACACACACACACACACACACACACACACACACACACACACACACACACACACACACACACACACACACACACATATATATATATATATAATTCTATAGTTTATATTTACTTTTACTTATAATATTATATCATTCTATAGTAAAAATGTTCAGTTTCGATGGAAATTTCAGATGGCATTTATGGGTTTTTGCATCTAAACTCTTCATATTCTATTTACCTTACTCAGCTTAAGTGTCATGGTGTGTTTACCCTCCATTTCTCCACTGTAATCTTTTGGATGTGTTATCAAACGCCAGTCAAAGTCATAGTTGGTCCCTGAAGAAATAACACATAAATAAAGGCCCTGTTTTTGCTAATCTGAAGACAAGTGCACCCCTTTTGACCACTTTCAGAGGCAGCTTAAAAAAGCTAATCTAAAGCTGGGCCATTAAACAAAGGTGATTTTCATGCACAATTTGTCAGTAAAGACAGAGGGTCAGAAAATGGTCATCCATACACCTCTCACAAACTCTCCTCTTAAAGTAATCAGGTAAGTGGTCAAAGGAGACGTTTATTTACAAAAACGTTTATTTAGAGCAGTACCTGTAGGTGGCGCTGGCACTACATAAGCACTGAGCTTCACTTCATTGCGTGGTAGAGTGACCTCCACATTTTGGCCAGCAGAGACGACCAGCTCTCGCACTGTTACATGAAACAAAAGTTTTTAGAAAAGTTTTATAACCAAGACCCAGATTCTATATATCTTATATATATATATATACATACAGGACAGTAAGAGGCCATTCACACAGAATATATCTTGGCATCTAAAAATGCAAGAAGAATCACTCAGGAATGTCTAAAAAAATTTTAAAAGCACGTTGTCCGCTACGTTAACGTCAAATAAAACTTGCTACTGCAAATAGAAGCTTGCTATGTGAGTTTTTCTTATTGGTCCACTGCTTTGAAACTGACATTGAGGAGTGTTGCTGCATGTTAAAGTCAAAATGCTTTTAACGTGACACAGCGTCTTAAAGCAGCGCTCATGTGCAAGCTGCTAAAAAAAAAAGCAGCAACAAACCACATGGATACCGATTCACCTTAAATCAGATTCAGGCCTTGTTCGTATGTGGAAATGTATCCGATATGAATGGGACCCGTGTTCTCGTGTCTGCAGTGTAGGCAGGTAGATTGGATTTTCACCTGTCATTTTGAGGCAGAAGGCATTTGTAGTGGTGTCCGAAACCATAGTGAATATTCTGAAGTGCACTCAGTCAATCCCACAATGCACCACAATAACAAGTGTACAACCAAAGTACACTGAATGGCTAGAGAATACCCATAATGCACTGTAAATATACATGAATCAGAGAGTGAAATTCAATACCTTTTAAGACCTTTTTTAAGACTCTCTCCTTACATTTTAAGACCTTAAAACCACTTTAGGTTTCAAACAGATACACTGGCGAGATTTTAACTTACAGTATATTTACTTAATATTAATATAAAAATCTAATCCAAAACTAAAACATTTATATACTGCATAAAAATCTATTAAATCTAGCTAATTTAGCAGGTTGGCGCTTATAGAACTGCAGAAATAATGGTGTTGGCTTGGTTTCTGCAGTAAACAAAGCAACATGATGTCAAATCTAGCAGGATTTTATTGATTTCATAAACTACACAGCATACATTGCATAATCAAAAATGATATAAAATTTAACATTTAAGATTTTTGAATACTTTTTAGAGGTCTAAAATTTCTCTACATTGATTTATCAACTTTTAATACTTTTTAAGACCCTGATAAAATTTTATGCGTGACCATTCGACCACTCGATGACATCCAAAGCAGAATCCTATTGGAGTTTCTAAATAAATTATTATTTAATTGTTAAATTAATGTTTGCATACATGACAGAAATCAAAATATTTTGTTTCACTAATAGACAAATAGCTAATCACCAGGGTCTGAATGTGAAGATGAAAATCTAATCTGTCTGATGGCAAAGAAGAAATGATCTCCAGTTCTCCAGCAAGAGAAATGCGCAGCCATGATTTTGCAAAGTCCAATGTGATCCTGGATTAACATCTATGTTGATCGTGGAACATCATTTTTGCTCGAAAATGTAATCCATAACTATTCTCTAACCCTAAACCCAACTAACCCTATTCTCTAACCCTAAAACCATAACTGTACATTATTCGCAAAATCAAAGGGGAATAATCGTTGGAAAGCAATCATGTAGAAGTGCATAAACCTAATTGTAAGCCTAAACTTAACATAAACGGTAAACATATCTCTCAATTCTGATTGGCTGGTTAGAATTTTGTTACATGTCAGAAACGTGTCCTTCTTGCTGAAATCAAGTTGGCGAAGAAATGCAGCACAACATTATTGGGAAAAAGGGTGTTATCTTATATTACAAGTAGCGTATTTTGGGTAGTGGAATCAGTTATTGATAACAATGAGAAACACTCAGTGCTTGAATTTACTTACTCCCTTAGGTGGACTATATTATTAGACTTGTCTAGAGAATCGTGAATGAGTGTATGGGGCAGAAATACCCTGAAAAGTATTGCATTGGAATGGAAAAAAAGTGTTCTGTGTGAACGGCCCCTAAGACAATGACAGAGAGCAGTGTTGTACCAGCTGGTGTTGTGGCTGGAGCCACTGTGGACTGTGGTGACTGATTACTGTTGTTCAGAGTTGAATGATTCGCAGCATCTGAATCCAGTGTTGTGTTGTGTTCAGCTGTCTGCTCTCCACTGGAGCTGGAGCTCGCCGCACTGTTAGATGTGGTCAGTGGCTCTGAAGGGTTAGAAGACATGTCCTGCATCAAGAAAGAAATATCAAGTTAGTTGACAAAAAATGATGCAAATTAAGAGATAAGGCTAGAGTGGTGATGACACATTTTTTGAAAAAACAATTCTGAAATTTTCAAAATGCATCATTTTTTTTTCTGAGCTTATTTTTTAACAGCCAAAGGTGTTGTATGATTAACAAATAGCTGTACTCTGCTTGCATCCATTTATCTACAAAAACTCCTTGAACCTAAAATAATCCTTAATAATATCAATAATCATTAAAAAAGTTAGAAAAGGTTAAAGTGAAATACAGGAGTGTTCATAGTGAGCCATTTTTTCAATAACCATGTGACAAAAGCCAACTTAAATGACTCAGCCAAATGCACAAGCACTTTTCCTCAAGCCTAGAGCCCCATCTGCTGTTTAAAAACAAGCTTAGAGCACTGTCTGCTGTTTAAAAACAAGCCTAGAGCCCCATCTGCTGTTTAAAAACAAGCTTAGAGCACCATCTGCTGTTTAAAAACAAGCCTAGAGCCCCATCTGCTGTTTAAAAACAAGCTTAGAGCACTGTCTGCTGTTTAAAAACAAGCCTAGAGCCCCATCTGCTGTTTAAAAACAAGCTTAGAGCACCATCTGCTGTTTAAAAACAAGCCTAGAGCCCCATCTGCTGTTTAAAAACAAGCTTAGAGCGCTGTCTGCTGTTTAAAAACAAGCCTAGAGCACTGTCTGCTGTTTAAAAACAAGCCTAGAGCACCATCTGCTGTTTAAAAACAAGCCTAGAGCACCATCTGCTGTTTAAAAACAAGCTTAGAGCGCTGTCTGCTGTTTAAAAACAAGCCTAGAGCACCATCTGCTGTTTAAAAACAAGCCTAGAGCACCATCTGCTGTTTAAAAACAAGCCTAGAGCCCCATCTGCTGTTTAAAAACAAGCCTAGAGCCCCATCTGCTGTTTAAAAACAAGCTTAGAGCGCTGTCTGCTGTTTAAAAACAAGCCTAGAGCCCCATCTGCTGTTTAAAAACAAGCTTAGAGCGCTGTCTGCTGTTTAAAAACAAGCCTAGAGCCCCATCTGCTGTTTAAAAACAAGCTTAGAGCGCTGTCTGCTGTTTAAAAACAAGCCTAGAGCCCCATCTGCTGTTTAAAAACAAGCTTAGAGCGCCGTCTGCTGTTTAAAAACAAGCCTAGAGCATTATCTGCTGTTTAAAAACAAGCCTAGAGCCTCATCTGCTGTTTAAAAACAAGCCTAGAGCCTTATCTGCTGTTTGAAAACAAGCCTAGAGCCTCATCTGCTGTTTGAAAACAAGCCTAGAGCCTCATCTGCTGTTTAAAAACAAGCCTAGAGCCCCATCTGCTGTTTGAAAACAAGCCTAGAGCCTCATCTGCTCTTTGAAAACAAGCCTAGAGCACTATCTGCTGTTTGAAAACAAGCCTAGAGTGCCACTTGCTGTTAAAAACAAGCCTAGAGTGGTATCTGCTGTTAAAAACTAGCCTAGAGCACCATCTGCTGTTTAAAAACAAGCCTAGAGGCCCATCTGCTGTTTAAAAACAAGCCTAGAGCCTCATCTGCTGTTTGAAAACAAGCCTAGAGTGCCACTTGCTGTTAAAAACAAGCCTATAGTGGTATCTGCTGTTAAAAACTAGCCTAGAGCAACATCTGCTGTTTAAAAACAAGCCTAAAGCACCGTCTGCTGTTAAAAAATTGCCAAGAGTGTCGTCTGCTGTTAAAAAACTAGCCTAAAGCACCATCTGCTGTAAAAAGCTAGCCTAGAGCACCATCTTCTGTTCAAAACTAGTCTAGAGCATCGCCTGCTGTAAAAAGCTAGCCTAGAGCACCATCTGCTGTAAAAAGCTAGCCTAGAGCACCATCTGCTGTTCAAAACTAGCCTAGAGCACCGCCTGCTGTAAGAAGCTAGCCTAGAGCGCTATCTGCAGTTAAAAACTAGCCTAGAGCACCATCTGCTGTTAAAAACTAGCCTAGAGCACCGCCTGCTGTAAGAAGCTAGCCTAGAGCGCTATCTGCAGTTAAAAACTAGCCTAGAGCACCATCTGCTGTTAAAAACTAGCCTAGAGCACCGCCTGCTGTAAGAAGCTAGCCTAGAGCGCTATCTGCTGTTAAAAACTAGCCTAGAGCGCCATCTGGTGTTCAAAACTAGCCTAGAGGACCGCCTGCTGTTAAAAACTAGCCCAGAGCGCCGTCAGCTGTTAAAAACTAACCTAGAGCGCCGTCTGCTGTTAAAAACTAGCCCAGAGCGCTGTCTGCTGTTAAAAACTAGCCTAGAGCACCATCTGCTGTCAAAAACTAGCCTAGAGTGCCATCTACTGATACAAACTAGCCTTTAGCGATATCTGCTATAAAAACTAGCCTACTGGACCACAAGCGCATGCTTTAAAAACCAGTCTAGAGCATCATCTGTTGATGCAAACTAGCCTAGAGTGCTGTCTGTGGTTTAAAAATAGTATAGAGTGCCATCTACTGTTAAAACCAGCTTTGAGTGACGTCTGCTGTTCAAAGCTAGCCAATAACGCCATCTGCTATTCAAAACTAGTCTAGAGGGCCATCTGCTGCTAATAAGCTAGCCTAGAGCGCCGTCTGCTGTTAAAAACTTGCCTAGAGCACATTCTGCTGTTAAAAAACTAAGCCCACAATTGATTCAAGAGGGAACAGCGATGCATTCTGAAACCTCAAAATAGATGCACAATCAATTTCTCAATTGATTTTTCATCACAGCTCTAATTAAGCAGAAACAGCTATGCTCTGAGGACAGCCGCTTTAGTTTACAAGCAAATGCAGCTTATGTGCAAATTTGGCAGATCACATTTAAACTGTGACTAAAGCAGTTTTCAACTATTCCAATGAGTTGAAGAGCAAGTCATATGACAGCCTGACCTGCTCCGTGTCCCTGATTGCTCTGATGTCCTGAGCGCTGCGGGTTTTCCTCCTCTTGCTCTTGTTGAGGAGCTGCAGGAGCCCTAGAGACTCTACATGTGGCTGCGGAAGAGACGAGATGCCGCAGGTTTCCCTCTGAGAGCAGGCCAACAGCACACAGCGTCCGCCGAGGCTCCACACGGCCCCGCAGGACGGCTCCAAACAGCAGGACTCCCAGCAGCGTGACCCTCCCTGGTCCACCGCCAGCGGCTGCCAGCCCAGACCGATGACGCTGCTCCAGTGGATCCCCAAAACACCGCCGGTCACTGAGCAGATGCTGCCAGAGACCCCTGACACAGCACAGAAAACTCAGCTTAAAAATGTGGAGCACAGAGAAAAGACCACATTCACTGCGATGTTAGGAAGATAGCAGTGATGTGATCATTTATGTTGTTATTGTGGCTGTTAACTTATAAATGGCTGATGATAAAAACCTATACTATAGAGCAGGGACCACCAAACTTGTTTCTAGAGGTCCGATGTCCTGCAGATTTTAGCTCCAACCCTAATCAAACACAACTGAAGATGCTAATCAAGATCTTACTAGGTATATTTGAAACACCCAGGCAGGTGTGTTGAGGAAAGTTGGAGCTAAACCCTGCAGGGCACCGGACCTCCAGGAACGAGATTGGTGACCCCTGCTATAGGGTATTAATTTACCAAAAAACTTATACAAAACAAATATAAATTAATAAATATTAATAATAAATATCAAATAAATATAACATTTAGTTACATAAAAATAATACAAACTATAATTAGATTCGATAATATAATTAAATATTAAATCACTTGAGATTTATAATAGAAATGATCCTGGATGAAAAAAATATCTATGAATACATTCAATAAATTCATTAAATATTAATTAATTAATTTAAGATTTAGATGAGAAACGGTCATGCACAAATAAATATCTAATATTGACAGATAAGGATATTTTATATTAATAATATTGTCTGGAAACCAATAAAATGTCTAATATTAAATCTGCCTCTAGATTATGATTATTTCACCAAAATAAATATGATCAGGGCTTGATTTTTAATTATTTAATTAGGACAGTAAGGTCTGACTTTGCTTTGACAAAAGTCTTGTCTTGTTAGTTAACAGAAATAATGTACAGTATAGAATATAGAGTGATGGTGCAGTGGAAAACAGGACTCCCATGAGCTTGGAGGATTGCATCCATACATCTCTACCATGACTCAAATCACTTATGAATAAAGTCATCTGGAATGGCAAAGAAAGCGTTCCTGCAGGACTCCCAGAGTGCATCAAGATTCTTTGTATTCATCTTCAATGTCTCCTCCTTCATCCTACCCCAGACATGCTCAATAATGTTTAAGTCTGGTGACTGGGCTGGCCAATCATGGAGCACCTTGACCATCTTTGCTTTCAGGAGCTTTGATGTGGAGGCTGAAGTATGAGAAGGAGCGCTATCCTGCTGAAGAATTTGCCCTCTCCTGTGGTTTGTAATGTAATGGGCAGCACAAATATATTGATACCTCAGGCTGTTGATGTTGCCATCCACTCTGCAGATCCCTTGCACGCCCCCATACTGAATGTAACCCCAAACCATGATTTTTCCTTCACCAAACTTGACTGATAACTGTGAGAATCTTGGGTCCATGCAGGTTCCAGTAGGTCTTCTGCAGTATTAATGATGATTGGGATGCAGCTCAACAGATTCATCTGAAAAAATGTATCTTCTGCCACTTTTCCAAGTGATCGACTAGAAGTCAAGTTACTATTTGTTGCTCTTACAACTGTGATCAATGACAAGACTCTTATCAGGTAGTGTAGAGTCAAGCTAGAAATTATTCATACTCATGTAATACAGTTGAATTCTGAATTATTAGCCCCCCTTATTTTTTCCCCAATTTCTGTTTAATGGATGGATTTTTTTCAACACATTTCTAAACATAATAGTTTTAATAACTCATTTCTAATAACTGATTTATTTTATATTTGTCACGATGTCAGTAATTAATATTTGACTAGATATTTTTCAAGACACTTCTATACAGCTTAAAGTGACATTTAAAGGCTTCACTAGGTTAACTAGGCAGGTTAGGGTAATTAGGCAAGTTATTGTATAACGATGGTTTGTTCTGAAGACTATTGAAAAAACAAATTGTTTAAAGGGGCTAATAATTTTGTCCATAAAATGGTGTTTAAAAAATTTAAAACAGCTTTTATTCTAGCTGAAATAAAACAAATAAGACTTTCTCCAGAAGAAAAAAATATTATCAGACATACTGTGAAAATATCCTTGCTCTGTCAAACATCATTTAGGAAATATTTAAAACAGAAAAAAAAAATCAAAGGGGGGCTAATAATTCTGTCTTAAACTGTATATAAAAACATTTAGCTCATATGCAGACTATGGGACATAACACAATAGTCTACTGTTAATTCATGCTAGTAGTCTCACATCTAGCTCTGCCATGATGGAAAATAAAGCTTGTCGTGCCACCACAAGACAAGGCTGTTTATCACACAGGTCACAAACAAATCGCACTTGTTTTTGCACTAAACAGTTTCAGGAAGTCAGAGTCAAACCCAGCATAAACACTGTTCTGTCTCCAAAGACTGAAACCATGACAACGAAGGGTGGCTTATTATGGGATGGCAGTGAAACTTGAACTGCAAGACAGCCCCATCCGTTGTGCCATTTCCCCTTTTGTGAAAACAAACAAAGTGTCCATTATACTGCCCACTTTGAAGACCTCCAAATCAGAGCCGCCACTCATGACTGCAGTGAGTCACAAACATGGTGTTAACATGTAACGGGTTCAGTAATCTGATCAAGAGTGGTCAGCAGAGATGCATCATCGTTAAAATAAATGCACTTCAAAAACGTAATTACTAATTACATCATTAAAATTTTATTTAGTCTTATTTTCTAATTGCAAAAGCTACTTAATTACTCAATAATTAATTTAATTACTTGACTCTACCATAATAAATCTCTGCACAGAAACAGTGATATTGGAAAAAGCTGACATTGTGATATTTTGTATTTTTGCGATATATATTGCAATATACACACAATTTAACCAGATGACTTGAATAGTTCTGTTTGCATATTTTAACATATTAATAATTTATTAATTTCAGATCGATTGGGATTAGAGTGAATCATGTACGACATAATAGATTTACAAGCATAAATACTTTTAAAATTTACAAGCATATTTTAAATATTGAATATAATTTAAATACAAGATATTATAAAATGGCAAGGATAGATAAATAAAAAGAGCAAAAAGGGTGCGTTAGGGTTTTCAGCAAATAATCAAATTCTATTTAAATTGAAAAATCAAATATAAAATAACACTGCAAAGAGATTACTCTTTAAACAGTTCAATAAAATAAATTTCTACTGCATATGTGCATGATATAGATGCTGACATGATATATTGTGTAGTAGAAAATATATATTTTTTAATTCAGTCAAATATGGCCTTTAGCTTAAAAAAATGATGCTTGAGCATTTTAATAGCAAACAACAATCTTTAGTTAACAAACAGAATTACTTTGCTAAATAGTAAAAGATAAACACTATATGTGTTTTTTAAAAGCTTTTAATGAGGGTTTATGCAGGTTTCTGCAAATTCAAAACTTAAGACCTTTTTAAGACCATTAAGAATGAAATTTCAGACATGTATAGGGATAACTCTAACTAATGGCCCAGCAAAAAATAAAAAATAAATTTTACTCTCCCCAACAAAACAAGTTAATTACTTATTTCTCAATCACATATTTGTAATAATGTTTTAAAACAAGCAGACCCTATAGTTTACATTTAAATCTTTTCAGTGTAACTTAAAAAAAACCTTTTTAAAAACACTTGAACTACATGTATGCACAAAAGACTGTTTAAATTATAAATAGAAAAAATTATAAGTAGAGTTTTGCTAACGGTTTTATTAAGATGTATTGTTTGGATCGATTGAATAACTTTACATAAACAAAGAAAAATTAAGACCCATTTAAAATAATTTAAGACCAGCAAGACAATTTTTTTGTAAATTTAAGACTTTTCAAGGCCTAAAATTTTGTTTTTGAAATTTAAGACATTTTAAGACCCCGCAGACACCCTGAATATATAAAATCTGTCAGACATACAAAACTCAGACTCCAGTACTGAATTGTAACAGGCACCCGAACAGGGACTCAAATTTGAATGTGAACTTTGAATGTAAATTTCAACTTGAAACTTAATTTTTTTAATAATAATTATTTTTTAGAGTTTTAACCTTTATTGATAGGACCTCGAGCTGTGAATCGAACTCGGGTCGCCAAGAGCACCTGGGTGCTATGTGTTGACCCACTAACCACTAGGCTATTGGTGGCGACAACTTGAAATTTAGTTTGATTTATACTCACCACTTTAACTTTGAACTGATGTAAATTTACTGATGCTTGAGCTGATTGATTTGCTGAATGAGAATGTTTACTATTGAAACTTTTTAAAGTCTTGTGACTTGTTTTTGTTATAATTTGTATAATTTTAGTGATACATTTTTTGTGAAATGTAAAACCTTGCCTTTTATTTCTTAGTGTATTAGTTTTACATTGTGACAATTAAATGAAAATCAGGTGTGCTTGAGGATTCTGTACTTTTTACTCACATCTTATTATATCACATCCTATATTGGCACTTTTATTAGTTCTTTGGTCTGTGTTGCATTTATATTTGAGTCTAATCTTATTTTTTTTAGAGGTCTTGTTTTACTTTTTTACTTTGGTTTTACTCATTCATCAACAGAACATTTGTAAAAGAATTTCTAATAATAAAACCAAGCCTGCCAAGTGGGAACGAACCCTTAAATCCTGTTTTCGCTGGTATTTTGCATCTACATTTTATCTTTGATTTTACTCACCCTCAAGTGCTTCCAACCAAACCTTCGTGAATTTCTTAATTCCATTTAACACAAAAGAAGATATTTTGAGGGAAGCTGAAAACCGTTGACTTACATTGCAGGAAAAACAAATACTTTAAGTCAATGGTTACAGGTTTCAAGATCAAAATATCTTCTTTTGTGTACAACAGAATAAAATAAACTCAAACAGGTTTGGAACAAGTAAAGAGTGAGTAACTGATGATAGTATTGTCAGTTTTAGGTAATCTGTTCCTTTAACATCAAGTGTAAATGATCCTGATGATGAATGAAACGAGTGACAAGTCACACACATTCATTCACTTTCAGCACTCGTTATTTAAAAAACTATTTCATTCAAAGATCACAGATCTAGAAGATTGGCTTACCAGAGACTGAGCAGAGTAAATACACACAGCTCAGGTAAAGCGAGGTAAAACGTGTCTGCCATTTCCAGCGGTGCATCCTCAGCTCCACATTGGGCATCTTACAACTAAGTGCAGCAATCTTGGAGAGAAACACCAGTTAAACAGTCAATTAATCTGACCTACATTAAACAAAGGTAAAGATTTTGCATTAGCAGAAAATGTTTGCTGTATACCTTTCCCCAAAAACAGTACAGAAACCCCAGCACTGCAGCGAGGGAAATGAAGAGTCATCCACACAAACACCTCCTCAAGAAACAGCCGCATGGCACCACAGCACTCGGTCAATACAGGGATTTCTGCCACAAACCAGTCCTTTTCAACAAACAGGGTGAGATATTTAGGACTTCTCTCAAGATCAACACACAAACTTTTCAAAAACAGATCATCAGAACAGGCCCTTATACAAAAGCTAATTAATAAAACACTGAAAAACATGATTTTAAATGTATGTTTTCCGGGAAATTAAAACTAAAGGTATGCATTTGTATAATACGTGTAGTGTCTGTGTTTATATATATATTAGGGTTGTAATGGTATGAATTTTTCACGGTATGATAATCGTCTAAAACAATACCACGGTTTGACGGTTTCGCGGTATACGGTGTGTTACAAATGTTACAAAATAATAGAACAGTGAAGCAAATTTGACTTTTTCCAAATAATATATTTTTAGTTACTATAAACAACACCACTTACAATGAACAAATAAAAATAAGAAAATAATAAATAATGTGTCAAAGTCCAAATAAAGTCCAAATAAACATGGTGCAAATCCTCAGTAAAAAATAGATATAAATATTTACTATACTGTAAATAGTTACATAACGAAACTAGATTCAATATGGAACATCCTTAGGTTTTATGTGCCAGCATGGATATGGTTGTCTGTGGATATGGATATGGATATGGTTGTCTGCAATGCAGACAAACAGCTTCACCTTCATTTGCGTCTTTTGAAAACAGCAAGAGCAGCAGTTCGTCTTTGCTGTGTCACTGTTTTGTCATGTTTCTGTGCTGCTGTGCATGCAAAAGTACTTAGTATGAGAATTATTTCATGCAAAACTTTTTGCGTTTTATTTAGCCGCGCATAAATGTATGCCTATCTCTCATTCCGTGTTGTTCAAAAAGCTTGGTCCACAAACAAAAGTGAAACCTATGCTTATTGGTTGTGATATAGCGAGTTTGAACCAATCTGGGCATGGAGGAGGGACAATGCATCAATGTATCATGTCTGATTTGTCCGGAGACACAGTGACGAGCGTTTCTTTGTCAAATCAGCGTTGTCAAATGTTGATGACGTAATCGCACTGATTCCGGAGCCGCTGAAAGTCCGCGAATGTTATGTGATACATCACTGGAAAGCTAAGATTCTCTTCTTTATGCCAATCTTTGAATTGTATGAATCGGATCAGCGGATCAAAAGTTATTAAACATTTAAGAGCAATACTTATTTTTAGCCGCGGGCGGCTGTCTCGGTCTTTAAGGGTTAAAACCGTTGATATGCAATTGTTCATGGTATGATAATCGTGCACGTTCAAATCGTGGTAAACCGTCATACCGGTATATTGTTACAACCCTAATATATATATATATATATATATATATATATATATATATATATATATATATATATAAATAACACATATATATATAAATAACACATTACACACATGCATGCAAATATTTGAGAACATTTTTATTTATATTTAGATTGAAAATATAAATGTGTACATTAATTTTATTCCAATTTAAATAGGAAAGTACATATTTTTGTTTTGTGGTTTTGTTTTTGAAGATACATATATAGATGGTACATTTTATTTTTTATCTTTATATTTATTATACTTTTGCATTTATATACTAATTCATGATACTATAGTTATACTTCTATTTACCATGACATAAATAAACAAACAAACAAACAAACCAGCACATACATACATTTACAAATATATTTGCTTTAGCACCATTAAGTGCATAGTCCACTACTGTCATGGTTTCCGCTACATTCATTCTTCCGTGGCGGGGCGCCACACCAAAATTCTTCCCGCCACAGCTACATTACAGCTTCTTATTCAAAATATTCGGTCGTTTTTTAAATAGAGGGTTAAAATCGCACCGAAAACATACGAAAACGTAAGTAAATAATAACAGCGCAAACTTTTCTGTGACCGTATAGTGTTGTGCGTTCGGTTTAAACATTTAAGGTGACGTGCTGACTGACTGACTGACAGGTGCGTGATGCGTAAGACCAGCAAACACGGCGTAGCTTTCAGCAAACAGCGAATATTTGATTGCGCGCGAGAAGTTTTGTGCACGAACAGAGGAAATCGGCGCTCAAGCAGAGATTGACATGCTCGTAGGCTATTACATGAATGCGATCTCGACGTAATACTGCGCCCATGACATTTGTCAATGAAATAACGCCACATGTAGTGGTAGATCTGTGTAAAATGGCCAACAGAGTCTGCCGCCACAGCTGGAAAAAATCCTAGAGTTATACTGAATCATTTTAATTGTTGTCATTTGGAAATCATTGCAAAAATATCTGCAAATATATATATATATTTTTAAATATATAAAATATAATTATAAAAAAAATGATTTTTTGCTCAGCAAAAATTATAACGCAAGTAAAATTGTACTGTATAAAAAAACAATATAAGAAGGATTAAACAGCTAGGGCTGTCGAAAATGTATCATCATCACAATAATAGTATATGCAATATCAATATCACAGGAGGTTCAATAAATTTTTATATTTTTATGTGCCAAACATTTGTGTGCTGAACGGCTGATTTCACAAAGTAGGACATGTTCCTGGATTAACATCAACGTTGATCCTCGAACAACATTCCAGTCAGCCAATTAGACTTAAGCAATATGTTTATAGTTTGTGTTAAGTTTAGGCATAACGCACTTTTATGCATGTATATGGTTTACGAACGTCTGCATAATTGTTATCCATCTATTACTGCCCTCTGATTTTGGGAATAATTTACAGTTTTGATTGGGTTTAGGGGTAGGGAATAGATGTGGATTACATTTTCAAACAAAAATGATGTTCCAGGATCAACATCCATGTTAATCCAGGATCGCATCGTGACGAAACCATGACGTGTGCTGCACAGATAGGTTGTTTACCTAAATCTGACCAATCAGATGAGGCCTTTACTATCGATATTCCCACATACACATGTTAGCTGAACCCAGAGCTGAAAATAAATACTACTGCTGGGAGACCACAGAGCCAGACAACACCCAATGATAATCCAAATTTCCTCTGAGGTTTTTGGATCTTCTTTGAAAAAAGAGAAAAATTATTTTAAAAGGTCATTTGTGGTGTTTTTAAGTCTAATTGTTTGCACCTTTTTTTTTAAATTAGCTTAGAAAAATATATATTACCTGTTCATTTTAGTATGATCATTACATTTTTTTTAATTGCTGATAAGTAGAATTTTGCAAGTTAGCTATATAGTAAGAAATATCATTAATCTTGACATTTATTGCATATTTTTCTATTGTGGAACCCTAAATCAAAATAATATAAAATCAAGATTATGAAGACGTAATAAACTGTCATATGACTGAAAAATCAACATTCCATCAACAGTTGCATTCAAGACATACAGTACAGCATTACAGGTTGTACAATGTTAGGTGAGCATGGCTTAAAATAACCAATGCCAACAATGGCTGGTGATTTAAGGGTGTAAAGAAATTAACAGGGACAGTTCACACACAAATGATTATTCAGTCATTTAATCTCCTGCATATTGTTTCAAACCTGTATAACTTGTAAATCACAATAGCAGACGGAGGACAGAATGACAGTTTCAAACATACAGTACCTTTTCCTTTTTCAATTCAGACAATGAAACTGAACAGTGAGCAAAGCTGTCACTCTTGCCTTTCTATTGCTTTTCACAATAGACAAAGTGTTAATGTTAACAAAATAAGGGTGAACGCCAGAATCTTGGGTGAACTATTAAACACTTCATTAATTTCATGCACTCAAAGGCCACTTTATTAGGTACAGTACACCATGCTAATGCTGGACCTCATTCTGCTGTCAATTCTGCTTTAATTCATTGGGGTGTGCATTCAAAAAGGTGCCAGAAACATTTCCAGAGATTTTATCCATACTTTCATGTCATCACACAATTTTTGCAGGTTTGTCATCTACTCATCCATGATGTGGATCTCTCAAGCAAGCACATCCTAATTGGACTGGACTGACATCTAATGTAGATTAGATTGTGGATGTAGTGAACTCGGTTATGTTCAAGAAACCAATCTGAGGTCATTTGAGCTTTGTCTGATGGCATAGTTCATTCCAAAATGAAAATTCACCAAAATTGATGGAAACCTGTAACCACTGACCTCAGTAGTAATGTTTCCTTACCATGGAAGTCAATGGTTACAGGCTTTCAGTTTTCTTTAAAATATCGTCTTTTCTGTTCAACAGAAAAAAAAAACTTAAACAGGATGAAAACAAGTGAAGGGAGAGTGAATGATGACAGAATTTTTATTTTAGAGTAAACTATCCCTTTAGCCTGCTGTAAGTTGCTCCCAATATGGGTTCACTATGGTTATAAATGATGGAAATGTTCGGCAACATAAGCAGGTAGATTTTGGAATTTAGGCAATGCTCAGTTGGTACCAAGTGGCTCAAATTGTGCTAAAAAACATTTGAACACCATTACACCACCAGCAGCGGCCAGCAACCCTTAACGAAAGGCATAAATTATCCTGACCATCCAAATATCACAACAGAAATCAAGACTCTTCAAATCCAGCGACCTTTTGAAAAACTTCTATACTCAAGTTTTGATGATCCTGTGTGAATTATATCCTCGGTTTTAGGGCTACACAATATATCAATTGAGCATCGAAATCGCAATGTGTGTATCCGCAAAAGTCACGTCGCTGGATTACATTGTTTATTAAAGATTAAAATATAATTACGCGACGCAATGGCACAGTAGGTGTAAGCTAAATTGTCCGTAGTGTATGTGTGTGTGTGTGTGTGTGTGTGTGTGTGTGTGTGTGTGTGTGTGTGTGTGTGTAAGTGTGTGTGTGTGTGTGTATGTTTCTCAGAGATGGGTTGCGCCTGGAAGGGCATCCGCTGCATAAAAATGTGCTGGATAAGTTGGCGGTTCATTCCGCTGTGGCAACCCCAGATTAATAAAGGGACTAAGCCAAAAAGAAAATGAATGAATGAATGAAAATATAAATATATTAATAAATATTATTATTTTAAGTAAATTATACAACAATGAACATGTTTTTTTATGTTTGATTGTTCAATTTCAGTACCTAAATACTATTAGACTCTCTAGAAAACTTTTAACTTTTATCTTTGCTCTATTTTATTTTGTATATGCTTGTAATTTATTATTATTTTATTATAATTTTATTTGCAAATATATTTTTTTGCACTGCTTGATTTTTATTTGCAGTTCTTTTTTGGATTACAAAATTAATTTTATTTCTCAAAAATAAATTTCCGCTTTGCGATTTTTTGAGATTTGAACTTATTTATTAATTTTTTGCTCAATCCTTATTTTTGTTTGCAAAACTTTCTTTTATTTTGCAAGTATATATGGCCCTAGATAAACTCCATAAGCTTCTGCCCAGTGACTGGCTGTAAAATTACAAATTTTACCTCCTCCTAACAGGGAAATCCAGCAACAATCAAGAAAGCATGATTATATGCCTTCATGGCTTTGCAATCAATACATTTGGGGCAAAAACAGCCACCAACATAACTAAAGGGTAGCAAATTTGCCCAGAGTGTATTGTTGATTTTTTTTTAACTCAAAGCATTTTCCCAAAATACATGTCAATATAAGATCTGTCACCACAGATCATTCCACTTGCTGAAACACAGAGAAAATTGTGACCAAATCAATACTCAAAATCACCTCCGAGTGGATTAAAACACAAACATCCCCAACAGCACACAAGGGTTAAATAGGTGTTCCTATTAAAGTGGCCAGTGAGTGTACAATTCAAAACAGTATAGTTAACAGTATTCTTTGATATGACAGACGCCCGCACGCACGATAGGTAAACGAGTGTAGTGATGTAAACAGTCCATGACAGGTGAAGGTGACGCGTTGGAGAAAAGAGACAAGACAAGACAAGGAAGCGCGCAGGTGTGAAGATCCGGGCTGCTAAACTGTCACCACAGGCCTTCAATGCGCCAACACAACGCACTTATAAACGGATTCATTAGTGCTAAATCCTGCAGGGTTTATTTCCCGTGGAAGTACATGCTGAGTTAGCAATGCCATTTAATTCAGTGAACGTGAAATTAAAATGTCGATGAACATAGAGGAGAATTACAACGAGAATGGATTCGAGATCACATTAAATCAAATTATACACACAATAGGTATGTCAAGGCTGATATACACACTATTTCAAACATCATTAAACTCTAACGTTAATTCACCTGCAAGTTGGAAACGGTAACAGTACATCACGCGCATATATTTTGAATCGTCATCCCCAAAAGGTCACATTTCGTCGATATTTTAAGGTTATGTAGCTGTTTTCCGTGCCTGAAGCTTGTATTCAGTAGGTTTTGGTGATTCCCTGCGGAGGACCATTGGACAGGTTGCTAACAGCTGTTCAGTGTTGGTTACCACACCACATGAAATAACTGACAAATGCGCAAATATCAAGTATGTCGATATATTACACCCAGTGTTAAATGTCTGTCACTCACCTGCTCGGTGTCAGTCAGATAGTTAGATCTCAAAATGACAGGAGACCCCCTACAGCAGCAGGACCTGTTTTCATCTCTATCTGGGTCAGTAAATCTCTCGCTATCACACACTCCCACGGAAACAGAAATATAGAACCGTCGCGTTTCCGCCCCGCATAACCGACTCGTCATTTTAAAAGTTTAGAAACCGGTCACAAAACAATACTACACCTTTAGAGACAACACATTGAATCCACATGGCATTAGAGTTACGACAAAGTTTTAACGATATTATTTGTTTTGAAAATTATAACGCAGATGCCACTCACAAACATGGCCGCTTTTCTAGCGTCACTTCCGCTTTTAATTTATCGTTTTTAGAATGTACACATCAATACCTCTAAAGTCTATTAAATGTTTATTTTAAGTTAGTTTGAAATATTATCGATATGGTTAATCCACATGTATCGAAACTGAAGAGAAAATCTCAAAGAATGAATGTGTACTTAGCTTAGATAGCTGCTGGCTATAATGCATAGATATATGCATGTATATATCTATGGCTATAATGTGGTCTTATTTTTATGAGACTAATATCAAATAAACATCTTTTTTGTATTCTATTGTAATCTATAATACTAAATGTCTACTTTCAATGATCTGTGTATATTATTTCACCACAGCATAGAGCGCTGTTTTGCTTACAGTCTACGGCTTAAACAGTCTCATATGGACGACTGCACCACATGGAAATAGTGAATGTGGCTTGTTTTTCTCCATCTGTCTCTATTTAATGTAAACACCAGAGTGGGAAATGCCAACTCAAACATATTTATCTGTATACAGTAGGCCTACTATTCCAGAATTTGGACTGTGTAGTTTTGTAGACAAATACAAATGGTAGGTTATGATCAGTGGTGTATAGTAACAAATTACAAATACTCAAACTACCGTAACTGAGTAGTAGTTTTTCTCAAAAATTGTAATTTAATAAGTAGCTTTAACAATGTGTACTGTATTTTACTCCACTACTTTCGTTCAACCTGCAGTCACTACTTTATTTTCTCTTGTCTTATGGGGATTAGAAAAATCAGTCCAGTCCAATCAAATTACACATAAACCGCATCATAATGGACTACCTCAAGACATGGGTGATTTATAATTGCAGCAAACTGTTTGGAAGTGTTAAAACTTAAAAGTGTCCAAGAAGATGTCCAAAATCTTTACACGCACCCTGCTGAAAAATCCAGCTTCAACCAGCCTAGGCTGGTTGGCTGGTCGACCAGGCTGGTTTTAGAGGGGTTTTGGCCACTTCCAGGCTGGTTTCCAGCCATTTCCAGCCTGGTCTTAGCTGGTCAGGCTGGGAGATGACCAGCTAAAACCAGCTTGACCAGCCTAGCCAAGCTGGGAGTCCAGCCAAAACCAGCTATATCCAGCTTAAACCAGGCTGGTCAAGCTGGTTTTAGCTGGATTTGGCAGGTCATTTACCAGCCTGACCAGCTAAAACCAGGCTGGAAATGGCCAAAACCCCTCTAAAACCAGGCTGGTCAACCAGCTAAAACCAGCCAACCAGCTTAGGCTGGTTTAAGCTGGATTTTTCAGCAGGGCATTGATCCAGAGACTGTTTAGATGCATGTCACTGATGAGATGACGGATATTTACAGACCGAAATAGCCTTAAACACCCAGGAGGCACAAGACATCAGATTGATGTTGTACCCTAACGTCATTAAGATGTTGCATTTTGTTTGGAAATGAAAATCAGGTTGACCTCAGAACCCAACGTCAGGCCGAGGTCAATGTTCATTGGTTAACCTAAAATCAACCAAATATCAACGTCTAATGATGTTACAGCTTGGCGTTGTGTGGACGTCTAACAGATGCTGGATTTTGATTGCCATCCCTGATGAATAAATGTCAGTATTTGACGTCATTATAAGGATGGTTTAAGATGTTGGTTTGACGTTGGATTTTACCAAATTTCAACCAAATATTAATGTAATTTGACGTCGTTATTGGACATCAAAATAACATTATCCTTAGACATTGGCTAGACATTGAATTTTGTTCACCTGCCATCACAACCTAAATTTAACCTAGTATTAATGCCTTATGATGTTGTGTCCCTGCTGGACAATATGCACTAAAGAATGTTACATTTACACACATCCACAAATTACATGTAAATGCACCAACTTTTCACAGTGTACTCACTACTCTTGAGTACTTTTGAAAGGGCTTCTTTTTACACATACTTTAAGTAATATTTACAACAGACACTTTTACTTGCACTAAAGTTTTAGGCAAATAATGGTACTTTTACTTAAGTGTGATTTTTCAGTACTCTTTTCCCCACTGGTTATGATACAAAAACATAATACAAAAAAAGTACTATTAGCAATTGTCTTTTTTCTCTGAATGAGCTAAGAGCAAGGAAAAAATGAGTTTCTTTGTGAATTATCAAAGAGTGTGCCAAGCTGTAAACCAGGCAAACGATGGCTTTTAAAAAGCTTAACTTCAAATAATAGACTTGTGTTACCACTTTGATGACTTCAGTTTGTCTAAAATAGTAGTAATAAATAAAAAGTATAAGCGGCCAAATTATTATTTTTATTGTAGTTCCGTAAGCAAAAAATATATATAAATATTCTCTACAAAAAAGCTAAACTGTTGTAAGTTATTTATCAATTTTTTTTTAATGATTTTATTGAACCCATCTGGTCGCATTAATTTAATTATTTTTAAAACAATTGTTTAATAACAAAGTTTTATTTAGAAAGACTTCATTTCCATTGAAACTGTATATAAAATTCCACCAATCAGTCAATCCCAGTGAGACTTTAGCCCTGCCCCCTGCCATGAAATGTGCAGTGAATTGTGTGCAGACTCTTTTTATCAAGTGTGATTATAGACCATTTCAATGCGGTAATGCCATTGGCCCTTGAACATTTCCTGCTTGTTATCATACTATATCATAACTGTAACAAGAAGCAATTCAATCATATTTTCACGTTTAAACAGCTGTCATAACATTATTTACTCATTTTTGGGCCTTTTTGGATTCTCGAAAGCTATGGAAATTAAAAATGTAAAAACAGGAAATACATTAGGACCATTGTTATTTTTTGCATTCCTTAAAATGGTCTATATTTGAATTAATTAATGTTTACCATTAGAGGCTGGATATTCACACACTTGTGATTTTTGCATAATAGGTCCCCTTTAAAGCATTAATGGGAAAACCACATCCAGTGAGTCAGAGATGCAGAACAAATGACTAAACACGAATGCACCCTATAGCTCTACATCTAAAGCGGTCAGCCAGTCATATCCTGGAAGTATAGACCGGAAGTTAACAGAATGCTGCATGTCCTGGGGAAACATCTGCGTCTGTCTGCATGAATGACCCGGGCTGGGTTGAAGATATCAGTGACGTCACATCTGGTTTCGTTTACTTTCTTCAAAGAATTTACAGCTCTTTGGTATTTGGATGCTCTGATGAACTGATACAGAATCTTCAAGGTCAGGGGTCACAGCAGGGTTAAGCCATTTGTGTAATCAACACTTCAGTTTGACACAACTTTTACAACAGTTCACCTAAATAAGGTTAAGCAGACAAAATTATTACCATCGTTTAACACACTTATGATTTCAGTACACTTAATTTTCACATTATATTTTCAGTACATATTCTCTGCAACTTTAAAGCAAGTAAATAGTGCATGTATCGTGTATGACCATGACACCAGGGTTACACCCCTACTCCTCTTTACGAGAAGTGCCATGGGATTTTCAATGACCACAGAGAGGCAGGACCTCGGTTTGACATCTCATCCGAAAGGCGGCGCTCACTGATAATATAGTGCCCCTTTTACATTACTGGGGCATTAGGACTCACACAGACCGCAGGTTGAGCGCCTCCTGCTGGCCTCACTAACACCACTTCCAAAAGTAACCTAGTTTTCCCGTGTGGTCTCCTATCCAGGTACTAACCAGGCTCAGCCCTGCTTAGCTTCAGTGAGTAACTGGTCTTGTTGTGTTCACACCAAAAAATTGCGCTTTTTGTGCGTAAATAGACGTGTGGACATTTTAAGTTTACTCGCTTCATTTGCGCTTCAAATTTACTACAATCTGAGCTGCATCCAATGCTTTTTAATGCACTCACCTAACCCCACCCCTTACCCTACCCACCACAGTGATGTCATTCACTCCATAGAGTGCATTGTGTCTGACATTGCATCGCTGAGTGATGAAATCTCAGCTTGCATCATAAAGGATGCATCCAGATACTATTGCAATAGACGTGGATTCGCATCATGGGCGGGGCTTCTGTCTGCCCGGTGACTCTAGCTTCATTGCTAAAACATGGATTTTATTAAGAGAAGAGCTGTTTATAGGCTTTATGAAGGCTGAAAAACAGCGTCGATTCGTTTGGAGCCGTGTCTGATTCCACTAGATTCCTTTAGAGATGCACCCAGCTCTGTGAGTTCATAAACTCCTCCAGAAACTATACCTGGATGATGAAAGCTTTCAGCTGTGCTTCTGACTGAGCCGACCCCAGTTTGATGAACTGTTGTCAGTGTCAGCAGAAGGATTTTCCCCTCGGGACACTAACAACAGGCACTACGTCATAATCACGCCCCTACAAGAGAAAGCTCTTGATTGGTTAACGCAGTACGAATGTCCTCTGAAGTTCAGATTTTCCAACTTGAGTGATTTAATCGTGTCAATCTTGCAAAACGCTCAACTCGCGCCACTTTATTTGCACGAATCGCATCGCAGGATATTTATTTGCGTCTTTGCATTCACTTAACATGGTAATCACTTGCACTTGACGCTTATTCTGCGTCTGGTTTGAACGCAGCAGTAAGCTGCAGAGTGATTTGGCTGTGATATGGCTTAAACTTCCCAGTGCGTTCTATCTTCATGATTGTGGCAAAGTATTATTTTATTAATCTTTTTATTGATAATTTTATAGTAATTTTTGCTGACAATTTGCTATAAAATCATATTTTTTGCCATATGATGGTTCCTTTATAAGCAATGCAGCTGTTACTGCGAGATTTAAAATAAACTTGCATGAGAAATTAATACAGGTGTTTGTAGCTCCGCCCTCTTCTGAAAAGAGCATGATCTCATTTAAATTTAAAGAGACAGTCCACGAAATGGCACAATTTGGATAAAAACTAAAAAGGGGTACGTTTAAACATTATTTGTGAGGTAAACAACAAAATTATGTCCAAGGCACTTGAAAAAAGAGAAAAATTATTTTAAAAGCCTTTATTAAGATAGCTTTTTCATTAAAACTGGAATTGCCATATTAAAAAAAAAAGGTTTTTAAATAATTGTACACTTTTTTTTCGAGTGCCTTGGACTAATAATTTTGCTGTTTATCTTTATGTATCCCTTACCCAAGAAGCATATTAACATATTAATTACCCCTGAAGCAGTTTTTGTTTGATTTTGGATTATTTGTGGGGTATTTTGAGCTGAAACGTCACATACACACTCTAGAGACATCAGAGACTTATTTTACATCTTGTAAAAACGGACATATACCTTTAAGAAGGCAAATAATATTAGCACTTTCTCCAGAATACATACAGAATTAGAATAATAATAGGAAATACTGTGAAAATTTTGTCTTGTTTTATTAAAAATGACGGGAAATATATTAAATTCAAATTTAAAATGAGGGCTAATGATTTAGTATCTTCAATGAGTTCAGATTAGCAACAGGGTTAATATATACTTCACTCTGGTGGAGTTATACTATGCATACTTTGCATTGGTCATAATGGTCGTGAGCGAGATGCCACTGATGAACTGTCGCAGCAGGATATTTGCATGACTGCAGACAGGAACAGAGCAGGAGATTATAGGAGCATGTCCGGTGTGGAGCCGGGTATTGTGTTCGAGCAGTGGAGCTCACTACAACAATGACTTCAGGAATGCAAGTTATTCTAGTGATTTTATTATTTATTTTTATGTGATAATAATTAATCTAAAAATAGAGAAAAAATCAATTTACTCACCCTTGTGCTAAGAAATCTGTATCCAGTTTCATATCAAGTTCATTTTCAGGTCATCCTGAGCTGAATGAGAATGCAATCAGATTCATTCTCAAGGTATATCAGAGGATTTCTTTGGGGATGTCCAAGAAACGGGTGAGATTTCAGCCAACTCTGTCGGCTGGAATTTATGTAGATTAAAGTACATATAAAATCAAAATTACCCATATTGATTTTGTTAGCTCAGATTGCTAGTTTTGTTGTAAACAACTCATCTGTACACGTCTTTAAGAAAAAAAAATGTTCGCCCTTTTAATTTTTGATTGAAATCTGTAAATGCCCTTTCTGTTTGTTTTCAGGTAAAGGCTCAGATTAGGTCTGTCAATCAGAAATGGTGAGCAGGAGGCGGTGTGTGTTAGGTTGTAATAACTCTCCCCAAACCTTTTCCCCATCTTTCTGAATGAAATGACTACTTTACTAAATCCAATCAGCTCGCAGTAAAAAAAAAAAGCCAAGCCAATTTTCTTTATTTGGATTAGCGCACTCTTACTCTCCACTAACAGCATGGGGAGAAAGTTAAAATTTTGCAGTAATTTATGCGGGGCCTGTAATTATTAGTATTGTATATTTCATTAAAGGGCTCGTGAAGTGTTTTGAAATGTGCATTTTTTTATTCGATGTTTGACGCAATCTCAACTGAAAAAAGGGTGGGACTTAGAGTAACTCCTCCCCTTTTACAAAAACAGCCAATAGCGTTGCTTTTATCACAGCTCTGCCAGGGAGAGTGGTTGAAGGGGGCAGGGGATGTCACATACTAGAGAGCCTTTGATTGGTCAAGATTTGATAAGTATATTGGGACGTGAAAAAAATCGTTGATTTAGGAGAAAGTAACAAACGGCAAGCTGTACATGTCAGTATTATATCTTTTAAACGCAAATTTTGTCAATGCTTTGGAGCACACTAGCTTATAAATTGCTTGAAATTAACAGACTGAAACTAACATCTGAAAAAATTATTTTAATTTCATGCGACCTTCAATGTTTATTTTATGTTTAGACATTCTTAATGAAACATTTGCACTGAAGTTCTAAATAAAGTGAGAAAAATGTTTTCCATCTTTGTTTTGACAGTCCATGAATAAAACATGTTAGCACATCCTAACTTTACGCAAACCTTTTCAGTTTGCTAAAAATCCCAAATGGAAATTAGGTGTGTTCAAGTTGTTAGAGCAGTTCACAGTAGTATTGGTAACCTAGCAACCAACAGTAAACAGGGCAAGCTTGATGGGGATAGCTGATTGGTCACAAGGGTGTAATGCTCACTGTGTTAGGAATTACTCAGGAAAAGTGTTTCTGTCTCTCATTCTTCACAGTAGCAAGTCCAAATCCAGCAAACGTTTAGTGAAATTAGAAATTTTATTCAAATTTTTGATGTTTTTAAATCAGTCGTTTCTCATGCATTAATGTGCATTAACACATAGTGATGGAAACCTCTGCATGGTAGTGGTATAAAGAGTGTTTTATTGTTTTCCGAGGAGTCTAACACTATTGTGGTATACGGTAACTGAATAATCGAATGTAAATACTGCATAGTCTTCATTGTATAAATAATTAAATACAACTAATCGTTATTAAAGTTACAAACGGTACAATGACTTATGCCTGAATGCTTTAAAATTGTTACAATGTTGACAACATGGGGTGTGGATCCAAAGGCAGGTTTTTAGAGAGGTCAGTTAAGCAATGGTCAACACAAGGGCAAACAGAAGTATGCAAGCAATCCAGAGTCGAAGTCAAATACACAGGCAGATGGTCAGAAGGCAGGCAGCAGACAGGAATAAACAGATAAACAAGGGGAGGATCAAAACACGTAACAGTAAACAAAACTCAGCAATGAGTGTCTCAAAGTGACAAGTATATATGTGTGTGTGTAATCAGTCATTGAGCAGCATCAGCTGTGAGTGTAATCAGTGGTGACTTGGAGCAGGTGTGTGTTGCATGACTGAATCTGTAGTCCATGAAATGGCGGATTTGTAGTTTGTTGGCGTTCCGTGTTTATCAGTGATCTGCACGAGTTGGATCGCTGGTGGCCGTGACAGAAATCCTCATCATTACAGGACTCAAAAATACATGGAAATGATCAATTATAATCCAGACTCAAGATTGCACATCCTGATGTGACCACTGTGAATGATCACGATATCGATCTTTTGAAATGATATATTGTGCACACCTAACCTTGATTGTGCCATCGTAACCAATAACATATATCAGTCTTTAGACCTCATAAACGTCTATTATTTCTATACTAAACTTCAAACTACTTCTATCTCTCAAGCCAACCTGATAATCAACATATTTGTTTTTTTATTATTTTAGGTATATGAGTCTAATACACAATAATTCTCACACTTAAAAAATGCATAATAAAAAGGTGTCCTAATCATAATCATTACAGCTCTCATGTATGTCTAACAATTTCTGAATCAGTTCAGGAATTCAGGCGCAGGCAACGTCTCAGCAGGATGGCAGACTGGTTTCTTTGTCCTATGGTTGGGTGGTGGACACTGACTAATAAAGCACAGCTCAGCGCGACACAGCCCCGGGTGTACATCATTACTGGAGGAGCTCAGGCAATAAACTGTAATTTACTCTGTAGCTCCAGGAGCTTGACATTTACTGTGAAAATATGCTACTTTACAGGTTTCAACCTCACATGGCAAACCACCTTAGCTTATCACTAATGCAGAAAACAGACACATAACACATAAACGGACACAGGGAATATTTACTTATATAACATGACTGTGAAGAGTTAAGTTTTAAAATATGCTAAGAATGTGCTAAAACATGGTATCAAAATATAATTAATGGGATGAAACATGATATCAGCACTGGTTCTAGATTGGTTTATGCTCTTATTTAACATAATTATTCGGATAACCACTACACAGGGACCCTAAATACCTTGGTTTACTTCACTTTAGAATGTTCATTCACAGACTTACACAACACCACTGCCTGTAGCGTCTTCACATACACAGGTGACACTTACTAGATGAGTGTGACATAAAATCACACAGTAAAATGAGTTTTAGACAAATTATTCGCTCTTTTTTGAACTGGAATCATGGTGGAATATCCTGAGGAATTACTGTCGAATTATAACAAGCATGAGAAAAGTGTTGGCCATGAGGACTGTAATTGAGAAACATTGTTTTAAAGCATGCTACCAGTCATTACATATTAACTTTGTTTTAAAACATGCTAGAAAAATGCTTACAGTGTGCAAGAAACATGATAGCAACATGCTATTACTGTAATAAACATGGTAAATCATTCTTGTCAACATGCTAGCAATGTTCTGAAGTATGTTATTGCATATTTACTACATTTTAAAAGACAAGGAAATGTAAAGCAATGTGCTTAAACATTTTAAACTATACACTCAAAAAAATGATTCAAGCCCTTCTTAGATGTGACACAAATAAATACTGTTCCCATTATTTAAATATTTTTATTTTTAAAATATTAATTTAAATTTAATTGATGTAACGTAAAATGTATTAGTCGTTTCACCTATAATCTTTATTAATCCAAATCAAATGAGTTTAAATAAAGTGACCCCTTTTGCGCATGCGTGAGACCGCGCATTTTCACTGCCACCTGCATTGCGTTTCTCCGTCCACCATCCACCTGTGGCCTGCAGACGAGTTGATGAGACGCTCCCGATTACAAGAAGTCATTTCTTTGGTGAGTATTCGTTTCTTTTTCAGCGAGTACCTCGCTATGAATGCATGTTATATTCTTGACGGTGTGCAACAAGCGTGATAAAGTTTTGCTTCGGTTTTCAGTAAAGTTGACGGCTAACGTTAGCTGGCATAGAGGTAAAGTTGGTTTTATATTCACACATTCATTCATTTAGAAGTCTCTGTATTGTTTACCATATTACTTAGAATATTAGATTGGAATTAACTTGCAAGTGTGACTTGAAAACAACAATAACACTGTTTATTTGACAGTGAACTATGTTGTATTTTGATAGTCATTGGCTGCTAATTTGATTTTGCTATTTAGAGTTTTTAAATAATACTTTTATGAAATTATATTATTAAGGGGAAAGTCCGAATATGCAAATATAAAACCAACTTTACCTCTATTTAGCTGGCTAGCCAGTCGCTCATCATACAGGAGAAAATAGACTGACAGAGTTAACATTAACGTTTTTTATCATAATGTTCCGACGTTGATTTAATATTTTTTGTCTTCGGGGTGATGTTAACATTGAGGTAAAGTTGGTTAAATATTCGCACATTCAGACTTTTTCCTTGCTATCATTTCAGAAAGTTGTTATTTGCAAGCTCTAAATAGTGAAATCATATTAGCAGCCAATGATTATCAAAGGACAATTTTTTTTTAGTCAATTAAATAGTGCTAATGTTGTTTTCAAGTCATATTTACGTGTGATTTCAGACCCAATATTCAAATTAGCGTAGTAGATAATATAGGGAACGTTAAATGAAGGAATGTGCAAATATAAAACCAACTTTACCTCAATTGAATTAACATCTGACTGTTTGAGTCGATGTAAGTTATTTTATCTATCAATCAATTTAATGGTCTGATGTTGCGATCACGGAGTGAATGTTTATTGAACACAAAATGTGACGACTCAGAAGATATTTACTATCAAAATTCAGCTGTAAATCAATGTTTGTAATTTTCTGACCGATCTTTGAACCAGTTTCAAAATGCTTTTCATGTGTGACCTCAAACACGGAAGTTGAAAATATTATATTGTTCATTTGGCTTTTGTTATGTTACTAAAAATTGCTAAAACATTCTTAATTTTAATGTTTACAGTTTTTTTTATATTACCATCTAGTTCTCAAATGCAATTTTGACTTGTTGGTAAGCTTTTAAGTATCCCTGCACTTACACACTACTAATGCATTTATTTTATCTTTGCAGTTTGATCAGCTTTACAGGGTTCCTTCTGGCAACCTCCTAGTGATAGTAAGTTAAGTATTATCTTACTATGTTGTTATGTATTGTTGTTGTTATTATTAATATCATGAATGCTAAATGTATTTAATTTTCTTTTTTTAGGTTAGTGTATGTGGCAGTGCAAAGAATGCAGTTTGGAACTAGATAGCAGGTATTTATTGTTGCAACATTTTAGGCAGACTCATTGGCATTTTATAAGTGTCTTGTTTGTTAAACTGCTGCAGTTTCCCAGAAAATAATAATCCATGTCTTGCAGAGTCTTAAGTTTTTCAGCATCTTTTGCAGATTTGCAACCTTTTCAAATCAGAGCCATCTTTTCAGTCTGAGGATTGTTGCAGCTCTCAAACCAACAATTAAAAAGTTCAAATGCTTAGTGAGGCTTCAGAAGGAAACACAAGGCATTAAGATTTAGATGGATATTACAGTCATGCAGTCACTTCTTAAAAAGGTTCAGATCTGCAAAAGATGCCGAAAAAAGGGAGAATCTGCAGGACAATGGAGGATTTTTATTTGAAGAACAGCAGCAGTTTAACTGCTTAGAACAAGCAAGGGGACATGACAAAGCATTACTCAGCAGAAAAACACTGGTTGATCTACAAATAACCACAAACTGTATTAAAAGCCAATTGTATGCAATCTTTTGCAGGAGGTTATTTTAATTGCCGGGTATTAGTTGTTTTTTGTCTTGGGAACTATATGTAAAAAAATAAATAAAACAAAATGCCGTTTGTAGGATTCACTTATTTCAGTAAAAATCATTGCGCTTTAACAGAGTCTGCAAGGGGAAATCAAAATTAAGCATAACTGTATAATGCACATTGAGCAAGTTTCAACATTAATTTATTACGTAGATTGAAGACAAACATTTTTTTATCTTATGCATTTTAATGTCAGAGTAAGTGAGGTGTAAATATTTTTTTCTTTTAAATACAATGCTAATGTCATGTTTTTTTTTTTTGTCTTCTGTTCTAGATTAAAATTATTCTGTAATGGCAGCTGTAGCTGTTCTGCGAGTCCTTTTTGGTGACGAGTCTGACTCAAGAAAATTATCCCTAGCCTCTGGAATTCCAGCAACAGTGGAACAACTGCACACATCAGTAAAGACATTCTTTGGATTGCAACAGGATTTCCGTTTGCAATATATGGATGCTGACTTGAATGGTTTTGTGAACCTAACTTCAGTGTCTGAAATTGCTAACAAAAGCACATTGAGAGTAATATACTATCCTGTCTTGTCACCCGACTTATCTGGTGAGACCTCACTTACCAGTTGCCCAGATCCTCAAACTCCTGCTTCATCAATAGCCTCATCCAGCAGCAATAATACACTCTATACATCAACCCCACATTCATCCCCAGAAACTCAGCCCTCAGGACTTTCTTCCTGGCCCAAAGTGTTTCAGATCCCTAAATTCACCTATGAGGCTGAATTTGAGCTGCAACAAAAAAATATAGAGTTTGAGACAAACGGCACATACTTCAACCCTGGTTTTAAGCTGAAAGGAATTCTCCTTGACGGCCTAGCCCAAGAAATGATAAAATACACAAAATACCCAAAAGACTATCAATGTGAAGAGGTAGCAGCAGCTCTGACAAGGGCACATCCTTGTTTGGGTCAGCTAGGTTCTAAAACAGGATTTTGGGGTTGGAAACAGTCTCTGAAGTACAAAATGCAAAACTACAGAACAAAGCTTGGGCGACTTGGACATCCTGAAATCCGTGTTAACTCATTGAAGCACAAAAGAGAAGGCCAAGGCAAATCTGCAGCCAACATCAAGAAACCAAGAAAAGCCGAAGTCAACTACATTCCTTTGCACCCAAAAGGGGAAACAACAGAAAGCTTGGAAAATGAAAGAATTTCTTTATTGTGTGAAGTGAAAAAGCGTGACAATGAAGCAGTCATAAAAGCAAAAATGGAAAAAACGTTCTCTCTCAGACGTCTTGAAATTGTGCAGCAGAGGCCAATGATAGAAGAGTTCAAAAACAGATGGCCTGCCCTGTTTGAAGAGAATGAAGTAAGTAGATCTATACTGTTTGTGTTGACCTTTTTTTTATTGTCCATGGCAAATAATAGCTACATAATTACTGTTTTAATTTGTCAATTCTGGACCCCTATATGGTAGAAATTATAAACTTTTTTAAATTGCTGTTTTTGTTTAATTTACAGGTGAATGCAGAGTTCCTGCGAATCACCACTAAGCCACTACAATCAAAGTTCTTGTCACAGCTGGATCACTTCTCTGACAAGCTGATGCAGGTCTTCAAGAAGAAAGGAGGAATGAAGGGGCAAAGGATCAAGGATGTCCTGGCGATTAATGATGTGGTAGGTAGATGTGCTCAACATCTTTTTACTGTGTTGGGGTGGTTATTGTATGTTTTTCTTGTCCATAGCTGCTCGTTTGAACACTTTTGGGATATATTGCTTTATGTAGCAAACTTTTGCATTTCACCGGCTGCATTACACCAGATGCAATGCATGGTTTGTATTGTTCCTTGTTGAGAGCATTTAGGGGGCACCTTGGTGAGTGCAACCCTCTGTTCTCTTACATGTGCACTTACAATATTACAAATTCCTGTCTTGATTGGTCCTTCTGCTTTAGTGTGATGACATCAACACCAGAAGGGAGTGCATTCTGAGAAGCCTTGTCATTTACCTCAATGAAGATCCTGATTCATTCTTCAAGGCAAATTTGGTAAGTTTGATTGTTTCTTATGTAGTCTCTAACAGTGAAACTCTACAGTGTAACTAGTTTTATTCTGTTATTTCTCCCATGGCACACAAATATGAAACTGAATAACTGTCAGTGTAAATAGATGCACACAGATTCACAAATGTTGTGACTTCTATAAATTGCACAAATGCACACAGATTATTTATCATTGCTTATGATCTGTCTTTTCAGGCCTCTGGCACTGATGATGTGGAGAGGGGCATCTCAAGCACAGTCATGGGGATTTACATAATCAGAAGTTATGACAACGGGAAGCCACAGGATGTGGGAATTGTGATCGAAGGCATTAAAGTTCTGACCAACGTTGGCAGTGTCATCATGGGTTTTGTTGTGCTGTTTGGGCTCATTTATGCCCTTGATCTGAGATTTCCAGAAAACCTCAAGTACACCTTTGAGTTCATCCAGAAAATCATAATGAATCTGGATGGACACAAGCTCAATCCAAAGATACAGCAGCTGAAAATCAAATTGTTTTCTTAAAGTGAACACCAGATGACAAATAAATGAAGTTTCTTTACGCTTTTCGTATTTGGGATTCATTTGTCTTTTCAATCTTCTGCCATCTTTCATCTACTAAACCAACAACACTGAACTCATGGATGTTTTCCATGTGACATTTTACATTGTGGCTAAGCTACAAAAAGGAAGCATGTGGACAAGTAAAAAAAAAAAAAAAATTGGACATACAAATGCAAAATAATGTTTTTATCATAAATGTTTTCTATGCAGCCAGGGTGATGGAGTGACTTGGTGTGATAATTGATACCCCTTACAAACTAATGGTTGATGAGGTTTTAAGTTTGGATTTCCCAATGCAACTTTTTTTATTTATTTATTTATTATTTTTTGGGATGCCAACATCTGCACATCATAGCTTATTCATGTACAGTATAGTGTCAACAACTGTCTCCATTACTCTCGTACCTGTCAGGTAATTACTTGACGCAACACTTGTTAAAATGAACTTGACCTAATGCTTTGTTTTGTTTTGTTTTTTTCTGAATTTTTGACGTTCAGATTATTGAATTATGACTGGCCAGAGCAAGTCACATGTTCAGAAATTGTTCTAGTTTTGGTGACAATGGGTCTCCTTGTTATCAAACTGTCTTGGTATGTTTTCACCTTCCTATAGTCCAAATTTGGTCCCCACAGCCTTTTTTTTTGTTTGAATTGACCATTTGTACTACACAGATTAAAAATGCTGTACCTCTCGAGTAGCCAGGCATTTTTCATATTATTGTTCTCAGGTTATGCCCTTTTAAGAAACGTTACAAAGTTTGCTGCTTCACATTTTATTAAATGTGCTCTGTTTTAGGTATAATTTCATTTATTTATTTGTGCATCTTTAACATACAAGACTGTTTTTATATCTTCTGGTTTTAAGGTCTGACAGATACTAAAAACTGTCTGTTACAATTCAAATTAGTCAAGTAAAACAAGCACTAGTTTCAGCCTCTATTGTTCAACGTTTTTTATGTATGTATATATATATATATATATATATATATATATATATATATTGTGCGTTTAATGCATGTTATAATTAAGTTGAATGTTGATCAAGCTAGCATTCAGATTTATTGGAATGTTTACATTTTGCATCATTTGCTGGTGCCTCTACTCCCTTAATGTGTTTAATGCTTTGGAAAACATGGGATACATTTACTTCACACCAGATGCAAGATCTGTTAAAGTGTTTCTAAAAGTTTTTCCAATAATAAAAAAAAAAAAAAACATTGTTTGGCGTGTGTGTGTGTAGTAACGGGATCAAATGAAAAATAAATATTTCCAATTAATTAATTTATATTTAGTTGAACGAATGTAAATCAGTTATATTAATTAAATGAATATTTATTTGCTTGGCTATATTTGATAAAATTGAGTTGGACTAACTCAATTTATTTTCGTTATGTAAATGATCTTTATTTTGGTTAGGGCTACGCATACTTATTGGATGGAAAACCTGCACACAATTCAATTGAGTTAACCTAATGAGCTATTTTTTTGAGTGTAGTGCTAACATGTTAAAATGTATACAACATGCTAGCAGTGCTCTAAAACATGCCAACAGTTTTGTAGCATGATAGGACATGTATGAGTTATGTTAATAATGTGCATTAATGTTATTAATGCTGTAAAAATGTCACACTATGATGGTTTTTAACTTGCTATAAATATGCCAAAACATGCCTTATAGCAATGTGCTAGAACATTAGTTATGTTTTTCTAAAAAAGAACGGGTGGACATAATATTTACTTATATAATGCAACTGTAAAATATAAAATATGCTAAGAATATGCTAAAACATGGTATCAACAGTGCTTAAATATAATTAATGCAATGAAACATGATATCAGCACTGATTCTAGTTTGGTTTATGCTCTTATTTAACATAATTATTCAGATAACCACTACACAGGGACCCTAAATATCTTGGTTTACTTCACTTCAGAATGTTCATTCACATACTTACACAACACCACTGCCTGTAGCGTCTTCACATACACAGGTGACACTCACTAGATGAGTGTGACATAAAATCACACAGTAAAATTAGTTTTATACAAATTGTACACTCTTTTTGAACTGGAATCATGGTGGAATATCCTGAGGAATTACTAGACAAATGTTGGCCATGAGTTGGATTGTAATTGAGAAACATTGTTTTAAAGCATGCTACAAGTCACTACATATTAACTATGTTTTAAACATGCTAGAAAAATGCTAACAGTGTGCAAGAAACATGATAGCAACATGCTATTACTGTAATAAACATGGTAAATCATTCTTGTCAACATGCTAGCAACGTTCTGAAGTATGTTATTGCATATTTACAACATTTTAAAAGACAAGGAAATGTAAAGCAATGTGCTTAAACATCTTATCATTGTATTAAACTACAGTGCTAACATGTCAAAATGTGTAAAACATGCTAGCAGTGCTCTAAACATGCCAAAACTTTTGCAGCATGATAGAACATGTATGAGTTATGTTAATAATGTGCATTAATGTTATTATTGCTGTAAAAATGTCACACTATGATGCTTTTTAACTTGCTATAAATATGCCAAAACATGCTTTATAGCAATGTGCTAGAACATTAGTTATGTTTTTCCAAAAAAAGAACGGGTGGACATAATATTTACTTATATAATGCAACTGTAAAATATAAAATATGCTAAGAATGTGCTTAAACATGGTATCAACAGTGCTTAAATATAATTAATCCAATGAAACATGATATCAGCACTGATTCTAGTTTGGTTCATGCTCTTATTTAACATAATTATTCAGATAACCACTACACAGGGACCCTAAATACCTTGGTTTACTTCACTTCAGAATGTTCATTCACATACTTACACAACACCACTGCCTGTAGCGTCTTCACATACACAGGTGACACTCACTAGATGAGTGTGACATAAAATCACACAGTAAAATGAGTTTTAGACAAATTGTACACTCTTTTTGAACTGGAATCATGGTGGAATATCCTGAGGAATTACTAGACAAATGTTGGCCATGAGTTGGATTGTAATTGAGAAACATTGTTTTAAAGCATGCTACCAGTCATTACATATTAACTATGTTTTAAAACATGCTAGAAAAATGCTAACAGTGTGCAAGAAACATGATAGCAACATGCTATTAATTTAATAATACATGGTAAATCATTCTTGTCAACATGCTAGCAATGTTCTGAAGTATGTTATTGCATATTTACTACATTTTAAAAGACAAGGAAATGTAAAGCAATGTGCTTAAACATTTTAAGCTATAGTGCTAACATGTTAAAATGTATACAACATGCTAGCAGTGCTCTAAAACATGCCAACAGTTTTGTAGCATGATAGGACATGTATGAGTTATGTTAATAATGTGCATTAATGTTATTAATGCTGTAAAAATGTCACACTATGATGGTTTTTAACTTGCTATAAATATGCCAAAACATGCCTTATAGCAATGTGCTAGAACATTAGTTATGTTTTTCCAAAAAAGAACGGGTGGACATAATATTTACTTATATAATGCAACTGTAAAATATAAAATATGCTAAGAGTGTGCTTAAACATGGTATCAACAGTGCTTAAATATAATTAATGCAATGAAACATGATATCAGCACTGATTCTAGTTTGGTTCATGCTCTTATTTAACATAATTATTCAGATAACCACTACACAGGGACCCTAAATACCTTGGTTTACTTCACTTCAGAATGTTCATTCACATACTTACACAACACCACTGCCTGTAGCGTCTTCACATACACAGGTGACACTTACTAGATGAGTGTGACATAAAATCACACAGTAAAATGAGTTTTAGACAAATTGTACACTCTTTTTGAACTGGAATCATGGTGGAATATCCTGAGGAATTACTAGACAAATGTTGGCCATGAGTTGGATTGTAATTGAGAAACATTGTTTTAAAGCATGCTACAAGTCATTACATATTAACTATGTTTTAAACATGCTAGAAAAATGCTAACAGTGTGCAAGAAACATGATAGCAACATGCTATTACTGTAATAAACATGGTAAATCATTCTTGTCAACATGCTAGCAACGTTCTGAAGTATGTTATTGCATATTTACTACATTTTAAAACACAAGGAAATGTGAAGCAATGTGCTTAAACATCTTATCATTGCATTAAACTATAGTGCTAACATGTTAAAATGTATACAACATGCTAGCAGTGCTCTAAAACATGCCAACAATTTTGTAGCATGATAGGACATGTATGAGTTATGTTAATAATGTGCATTAATGTTATTATTGCTGTAAAAATATCACACTATGATGCTTTTTAACTTGCTATAAATATGCCAAAACATGCCTTATAGCAATGTGCTAGAACATTAGTTATGTTTTTCCAAAAAAGAACGGGTGGACATAATATTTACTTATATAATGCAACTGTAAAATATAAAATATGCTAAGAATGTGCTTAAACATGGTATCAACAGTGCTTAAATATAATTAATGCAATGAAACATGATATCAGCACTGATTCTAGTTTGGTTCATGCTCTTATTTAACATAATTATTCAGATAACCACTACAAAGGGTCCCTAAATAACTTGTTTACTTCACTTCAGAATGTGTCACACTTACAGACTTACACAACACCACTGCCTGCAGCGTCTTCTCACACAGATGACACGTACTAGAGAAGTATGACATAATATCACAAAGTAAAATGAGTTTTAGGCGAAACAAACTGTACACTCACTTTGAACTGGAATCATGGTGGAATATCCTGCTGAGAAATGACTGTTAAGTTATAACAAACATGAGAACTATGCTACAAGTGCTGGCCATGAGGACTGGAATTGAGAAATACTGTTCTAAAGCATGCTACAAGTTATTACATAGCTATGCTAGAAACATGCTAACAGAGTGCAATAAACATGATAGCACATGCTATTAATGTAATAAAACCTAAATCATTATTCTCAACATGCTTGCAATGTTTTGAAGCATGTAAACAAGCTATTACATATTCACTACA